CAGAAAACTAGTTTGTAAGCATCGAAATTTAAAATCACAAATTTGAACCGTCCAAACTATCTCAAATGGAAAGTTGACCAAAACAAGAATTGTAGATCTTGATGAGTTGAACAAACTTGGTATTCAAAACTTTTCAATTTGAAGTCATTTAGAGTTCATAATACTAGAGTCAAAGTGTTGTTTTTTCATTTGACCAAATTTGACTTGGTCAAACTTGCTCAAATGAGACACTAAATGACCTCAGATGAAAAAACTCTGAATACCAAGTTTGATCATCTCAGCAAGATATACAATTGTTACATAGCTCATTTTCCCATTTGAGAAAGTTTTATCAAACACTAGTCACAAATTCTTAAATCTCATACACTTTCTAAAACTATGTCACACACTTGTGAAATTTGAAATACATTTTGTTCAAACTTTTCTCAAAATGAAAAATGACCTATATAAGGATTGTAGATCTTGAATCCATGACCATGACTCCATGAGACCCATGAAGCAATGTGCTTTGCTATTTCTACTCATGCCACAAGATTGGTGCTTATATGATGTTTGATGTATGATGATCTGTATCTTTATCTTATTTGTTGCTTTACTCTTTAGTCTTTCGAACTTAATCTAGATGGATTATGGACTCATAGAGTGGTGTAATGGATGACGTATGATATATATATATATATATATATATATAAGGAAAGATATTTGGGAATCCGAATACCGTATTCGGCAGTGATTCATATATGGTGAATCCGAGCGAAATATGAAAACGGTGTTGAGGCATCCCTAATCTGCATGAGTGAATGAGAAGCATCTCGAGAGCCTTAGGTAGATATCTTTGTTTTTTCTTTTCTTTTGATATTGTCCAGGGATAAGTGTGTGGACTAGAGGCTCGGTGTGTCTGTGCATGAAAAGGGGATGGAGAATGAGTGGACGAGAGAGCATCTGTATCCTGTAACCTTCCGTCAGTTTTCGGCTGGTTCACACGCCTGCAAGTACACTGTGCTCTGCTGCCCATTAAAGTCCGTGAAAGTGTTCACTTATTCCAAATTTTTTTTGAATCCCAAATGTGCAAATATTTGTTGGACAGAGGGAGTACATGTTAATTTTTTTCCTTTCTTCTTATTATGTTTCTTTTTTCTTTGGGTTTTTTATTTTTATTTCTTTTTTTCTAATCTTGATTTCATTTCTTTTCCTAATTTTATTTATTTGTTTTATGTTTTTGTCTCGTTTTCCTTTCGTACGTTTCTTTTCCTTTTTTCTTTTTTGTTTTATTTGGTCTTTTATTATTCTTTATCTTATGTTTTTATTTTATTCAATTTTACTCTAATTAATTTTTTTCTTTATTTTGTTTTATGTAGATTTTTCATTTTACTCTAGTTTTTATTAATCATTTTCATGACATACATTTTATGTTTTTAGGTTTTGTATTTTAATCATTTTCGGTAGCATTTTTCTCTTTTGTTATTGGACTCTAATTAATTACTTCACTGATTTTATTTTTTACTTTTTATTTTTTACATTTCAGGACATTTGTGATGTCTACGTAGTATACATGTGATGTTTTATACTATATTTTGTGATGTCCACGAGTACAAATGTGATATTTTACGATGTATTTCATGATGTTCAGTAAGCATACATTGATGTACTAGGATATTTTTTTTTCTGTTCGATGGCATTTTTTATTCTTTTTATTTGATTCTAATTAATTACTTTTATTATTTTATTTTATATTTTTATGGTATTTATGATATTCATGTAGTATACATACGATGTTTTATGTTATATTTATCGATGTTCGTGTAGTCTTAATGTGATGTTCTATGATGTATTTGTGATATTCGGTAGCATTTTTTCTTCTTTTATTTGACTATAACTAATTACTTCACTAATTTTATTTTTAATTTTTTTGTATTACATGTTTTTTCTTTCTCTTATTTTTCCTATATATCTTGTTGTTATGTTCACGTGGTTTTTCTATTGTATTATTAATATTATGGTCTTCCCTTGTATTTTGTTTATCTTTGACTAATCTTTCTTTTATTTTAGCGATTTGTTTGTTTTAGCTTTTAGTATTCCGAAGCATTTGCAATTCATCCTCCTTTACCGTTGTTATTTCACTCTCATTATTTATTTTATTTATTTTAAAATTTTAATATTCATATTTATTTTAATTTTTTCTATATTATATGAGATACCTTTGATGTTCGTGTAGTATCATACATTGTTCTATACTGTGTTTTCAGATGTCCGCATAGTATTTATGTGATGTTCTCTTTTATTTTTCTTTATTGACAGATTTTTTTCCTTTTTAATATTTTTGTTTCCCTTACATTTTGTTTAATATTTTATTAACCTATTTTCTTTTTTATTCTTCTTTATTTTACTCTGAATATTTTTATTTTCTATGTTCTATGGTATACATATGATATTCGTGTAGTATACATGTGATTTGTTTCTTATTCTATGAGATGTTATGTGGTGTTTTAGTCGTGATATTATTTTGTGAGAATAGAGTATATTTCTCTTGGCTAAGATAGTCTGACGTATAATAAAAAGAATTCCTAACTATCACAAACCTCCTATATGTTGTGGTGGTGCGAGCAGTATCATTAAATAAAAAAAAATAGGTCTCACGTTCGAGCCTTCTCATGCACTACTTTACTTTTGGTTTTTCCTTTTATTATTATTACTTTCGGCTTTCTCCTATCATTCACGTGGCACGAACGAGAAGGCACGGGGCGAGCGTGAACCTTCGAGCGGGACGCGAGCAGGAAGCCGGACCATGGTGAAGGAAGGACGTGAGGAGACTGGGTGGCCCAATAAAGAAACTGAAATCGGCTCACTACGCGCGACGCGAAAATAATTCTGGGGGTTGGCGGACGGCTTCCCACCACCATGGTCGGTGGGTAGACGTGCCCTGGCCCTTGGGAGATCTTGGGCAGTGGGCACTGGAGGAGGTCAGGAGGTGAATACGTAGGATGATCTGGGCGCGTTCTTTTCTCTAATCCTGGACTAGAGATTAAAACATGAACTAAAATAATGTTTGTTTGAATAGAGTAGAAGGAACTAAAGGGCTGAACAAAGACTAAAATATTCTTCTTTTTCCTCAGGACAGAGGCCATGGAGAGGGAGCGCCAGGAGCTCGCCCATTTCATTGGGGAGAGAGGCGCCCCGAGAGCTCGCGCCACTGGCTTGTGGTATTTGGGGGCCTTGGGCGGAGGGTGAATGGTCGGCGTGGCCTCGCTTCACGGCTGTGGTGTGCCAGTCCTGCCCTCCCCCATGCGCCGGAGCCTCGCTAGTTCATGATTCAGGCGGGCGGATGGGTCGGCGGCATCGCTGCCCAACAGCGTGCATGGAGCGGAGACAGTCGGCGCGCTGCCTAGCTTCAACATGCTTAGTGCCGAGCCGCTGCCCCAGCGCCCGTCGAGCTTCGCCGATTCACGGCTGGGGGGAGCAATGGGCGAAGCAGGTCAGGCGGCGGCCTCGCTCGGCGTATGGGTGTGCCAGTCATGCAGACAGTGAACGCTTGGGCAAACTCCGGCCAAGCCACCGCGCGACTTACGATTCTTATGCATTTTAGTCTCTAGTCCTTGTGGTGTTTGGTTCAAAGGTACTAAAAATGACTAAAATTTAGTCTTTAGTTCCTCCTCTCGTGGAAACAAACAGGGCCAGAGGAGGTGCGTGAGGCCTTGGGAGGTGAGGGTCTCAGGTCATGAGTAGGGAGGCCTGGGGAGGTGAGGGTCAATCAGTGATTTCACGAGATTTTTCTCTCACAACAATACCCAAGATTTTGATTTTGTACCCCTAGTACCACCGTAACATTTTCGTACCATTAAGAAAAACGTAAAAACATAAGAAAAAACTGCAAATTAAAATGACTTATATAGACTGAATACACAAGGTGTCGTGAACTGAAATTTGTTGAAGCTAGGTAAAAAATAGTTTTTTTTTTCAAAACTTGAGACCCTGTTGCCGGTCAAAAATAATGATCCGAGCTCTACACTAGTTGGGGCGGGTAGATTTTTTATAAGGAGGTGTGTGACCCATAATAGTATAGATTTTTGTGAAAAGTGCATTGTTTAGGCCGGACCAATACCTAAGTAGAAGATACCCTAACCTTCGGTACGCACGACAGATCTTTGAAAGGGTTTGGACACAAGGCTTGGGTGTACGGTCGAATGCCCGAGCCACGAGGCGCGGGCTAAGGATGGCAACGGGTGGAGCCCTAGGCACCTAAAACCGAAACCAAAACTGAAAAACCGAATCCGCCCGAACACTAATTCGAGTGGAAATCCATCCCCACGGTCTGTGTGAACCGAGGGGCGAAGAAAATCGTTACAGCCGCGGTGTGCTTGGCGCAATTGTCGCGTTCTGCCATCGAGAATCGACTTTTCAGTTGTTTCAAATGGGCTCAAGGTTGATGTAGATTTGGAGTTTGGCACACAGACACCCGTCGTGCCCGGCCCACAAGAGCATCAACCCCTACGTCTGTGCTTGACACCCTGGTCATTGTGTCACAGAGTTTTCATGTTCAATGGTCAGGGTATTAGGTCGTCATTGTGTCACGGTGTTTACATGTTCAATGATCAGGATATCAGGCTGTCAACGTGTCACAACGTTTTCAGGTCTCTTTGACAGGATTTTTGTGGTGATTTTTTCACCAATTTAAATTTAATAAATCCCTACCAAACGACATATACAAAAGTACAAAACCATGCTAACAATAATGAAACCGAAGTTTTTTTTTTCCAGAAGCCGAGCCACAGAAACAAGGCTCATCTTGAACCCCAGTCCTGCCAAACAGGCGTTCAACCCGAGAGACCAGCACACCACCCGTTGCGCACTCGGCCCACCTCCCGAGTTCGTCGCCGCTTTCCCCTCTCTTCCCGCGCCGGCACGCTCGCGTCGCGGCCCCCCATTCTCCTCCAAAACCCCGGCCAAAAACCCTTCGAAAGTCGAAACCCCGTCCGTCTTCCATGCCCCACCCGCACGCCGCGATGCTCCGCTCGCCCTCCTCCCTCCGCTCGCTCCTCCACCTCTCCCGCCGCCTCCTCCTCCCCACGAACCCTCGCCTCTCCCGCGCCCTGAACCCTCGCCTCCCCAGCTCCCCGCTCTCCGCCCGCCCGCGCTTCCTGTCCTCTTCAACCTCGCCCACACCCGGCGGCGCTGGATGGGCCACCTACGACCCGCTAACCGACAGCCTCAGCGCCTCCGCGGCGCTCCCTTCCGCCTCCGCCTCCGATTCCGAGGCCCCCGCTGTGTCGGATGCCTGGGGTGTCTACGACCCAGTCTTGGGCCGCATCGTCAAGCAGGGGTCCGCACCTCCTTCGTCGCCCACCACCATGGAGGAGAAGGACGAGGAGAAGGATGAGGAGGAGGAGGAGGAGGAGGAGGAGGAGGAGGACGACGACGACGACGACGAGGGGGAAGAGGCGGGAAAGCTCGAGGACGAGGAGAAAGCGGGCGTAAAGGAGAAGGGGAAGAAGCAGGCGAGCGCGCTCCGCGGGAATGGCCAGGTCAGGTGGTCGTCGGTGGCGGCGGCGCGGAGGCCCGCGGGTAAGGGCGGCAAGGAGAGGAGCTCGTACGTGTGCAGCAACTGCGGGGAGGGCGATTCACAGTGGTGGGGCAAATGCCGCCACTGCAATGCGATGGGGACCGTGGACAAGTACGTCCCAGGGCCTGACGGCGGTGGTGCCGCTGTGGAGGGGTCGCACCACATTGGTCGATCGTGGATTCCTCAGAAGGCCAAGGAGATGGTGCCGCAGAGCCTTCAGGAGGTGAACAAGGGGGTCGATCAGGCACAGTGGCGCATACCCCTGTAACATTTCTCACCCAGCTCAATATTTGTCATTATGAGAAATTTTTGAAGTCTGTATTCAGTGGCTTCTTATCTAATGCATTGGGGAAGCAGTTGAATAGACAGATGAAGTTATGATGTTAAAATTTGTGATTGTTCTATTGCTTACGTGGGAGTCAGCCTCAATATATTATCTCCATGCAATTCAATTAATGGGCAACTCTGAGGAATTTCGTTCTTTCTTCTTTCATTATGAGCTGATGGCATATGTATTTGTCTTCTTTGTAGGTGGGGGAGTTTCGGGATGGAGATCTCTCGAGTGCTTGGTGGTGGCATTGTTCCTGGTAAAACATCACTTAAATTTTATGGCACTGGTTGAACACAATCTTTACCTTCCAGCCCTTCAGGCGGCAGGATCAGGGTTCATATTTGCAATAAACTTTTGGTTGCACTAAAGATTTTATACTGCTGAGAGAAATAACGTTCCAGTAAATATGCTGCTGCTTAAGTGCCAATCCTTTTAGAATTTGATGCTTCTCGCCTTCTCCTATCTGAAATGGCACCAAATCAGGCTTACAATACTACATAGTGAATCTATAGCAAACTATATATGTGCTGGTAGGTAACATATAAGTTATAATTGCCTTGTGATTCCAGACTGTTTTAAATTGCTCTGAGTTAACTCACGACTTAGCTGCACCTCAATAGTGTTACAAGTTATCTGCTCTACATGCCACACTTTTTCTGATTGTTCTTCTTGGTTTTGGCTCCTTTGCATTTCTTCTTCTGTGTTATTTGGCAAACCACCAAGCATAGGATTTTTTTAGATACCATAAGAAGCATTCCCTGTTGTGATTACTAGTTTTGAGAAAGATAAATGTGGAGTTTATCTGGAGCCAAGCATACAGTAGGAATCATCCTAGCATCTGATAGTAGGCATACTTTCTTTTTCCCTTTCTGATTGATTTCTTTTCCTGTAAATCAAGTATCAGCAACTAGCATGTTGTCTTGTGTTGTAATTTTCACATTGTGGACAGATGTAAAAACTTTCTGTAATAATGATGCACAGCTCTCCTGCGTATAATGACAGCTGACATGTCATAAATATTTCTTTATCCCATGAATCAATCTATTCCGTCAAACTTATGCAGGATCCTTGATTTTAGTCGGTGGGGATCCAGGTGTGGGCAAAAGTTCATTGATGTTACAGGTATAGGATAATACACATTTGGCTATCAGGTGTTAGTTTGACCTGCTTATTTTCTTTGCACGTTCATTTTGTCCACCTCATACCCTTCAATATATTTCTGATTGATTTCTTCCATTTTGAGTTATGCAGTTTCCTATAACATTGTAACTTAACTTTTGGAATGTAACAGATGTTTCTCTTGCTGGAGTCTGAAAAACGTGTTTTCCCATTTTCTGTACTTGTAGCTTGCTTCGAATATATTGGAGGGTTTCAAGGCCAAGGAGTCTTCTCCTGTTGTATATGTGTCTGGTGAGGAGGTTAGTTATGACAGGCGTTCCTTTATTGGACTTCATGATTTCTTAAATCCTTATGGTCTTATCCGATCTCTGTAACTTGCACGTCCTTATTTATGTTGTCTTATTCTCTGAAACTTCTTGGACGGATCTATATGATCTTTCATATTTCTTCTGTCCAATGATTTGTAGAATCTTAGAACACTCTTTGCTAACTTTGTAACTCTGCTCCAGAGTATTGAGCAAATCGGAAACAGGGCTGACCGGATGAGTATCACGTCTAGCAACTTGTACCTCTACTCTGGTACGGATATTGAGGTAGTTTTCTCAGTTGGCACTACTTGTGCATACTCCTAAATTTATTTGGATCATATATCCATTTTTATGTAAGGTCAACATACACTAGTCTTTATTACCCTTGGGAAACTCCTTGTAGTTCCATCAAATAAAGTTATTGTCACATGATGCTCTGGAGTACCAAAAGTATGTAGGAAACTCTGTGTTCATCTCAAATCTCGTTTTTCACATATATGGGATTTCCTCACGACAGCTAATAAGACTACTGATAGGGTAGGTATTTTGTTCTGTGCTCATTTACTCAGATTTACCATTTAGAGTTCAACATGCATCAATATTACCCTTGTCTGTAATTTTTCTATAAAACTACTAAAATGTTTTGTACCAATATTGTTCAAAATTCATATCAACAAAGCAAATTTAACAGTTTGAGAACCAAATAATTTGATGATTTTTTTACAATACTGATTATCTAATAAAACAGAGCAGTCTGCATGCGATCTAAAAAGTAGATTTAACAGATGATAATAACCCTTACTAAAAGAATTATAGGATCTCTTTTTATCAGCTGTTCTTATTAAAATATTCCTCAGAAGAAACCTTAGGAGCCCCTCTGATTCTTACGTACAGTTTCTGGTCCTCTAAAATATTTGTTTCACAGGATATCTTGGACAAAATCCAACCGCTCTCTCCAAAAGCTCTTATTATCGATTCAATTCAAACAATTTATGTCAGATCATTTGCTGGAAGTGCTGGTAATTTGTCACAGGTGCTTCTATCAGTTCACCTAACCTAATAATTTCCTGATTATACTAGCATGCCATGTCTTCCCATTATTGACTGGTTATTTATATTAGCTTTAATTACTGTTATACCCAATCAGTTTCATTCACTTTTTCCATGATAATGATAGATACTGTTATGACTGGTTGCAAATCTCTCTTACTTTTCTGGATAACAGGTTAAAGAATGCACCTCTGCCTTGTTACGATTTGCAAAGCTGACTAATATCCCTGTTTTCTTGGTAAGCTAAGCACCATGCAAGAAGTTTGCCATTATTTATGAAACATACTAGACAAATGTCTGCCTTTATTTCTACTTATTAGTTGCACCCTGTCTATTCTTCTTTACTTCTCAGATTGGACATGTTACGAAAACTGGTGATATTGCTGGTCCTCGCCTCTTAGAGCACATAGTGGATGTTGTTCTTTATATGGAGGTTGGTGAATTACTGCATCCAAATATTGTGCCACACACAAAACAAATACTTGATTCTGCCTGGGAAAATTCTAAATGATTTTCAAAGGTCAAATATGAACATTTCTTGAGCTTTTCAAATGTTTTTTATGTGTTGTTTTTCTTATCATAGAAGATATAATGATCTAGCTCATACAGGTAGTACTTGTTTGTACTTTGTAAACGTGTAAGATGATAAACGTGTGAAATGCTAAAATGATAAAGCCTTAAAATATGCTGCTTATTTCAAGTCTTATTTGCACAACTTCATGTATTCTAGATGTTAAACCTGACAAAAGCTTCTTCTTCTCATTTCAGGGAGAGAGGTGCTCATCCCATCGATTGCTGCGGTCAGTGAAGAACCGTTTTGGTTCAACTGATGAGGTATGCTCCTATGTCTTAAACGAAATTTGCTCCGTACGCAAATATTAGTGCTGCAATACTGGATTAATCTGCAAAATGGGCACGACTCATGATTATGTTGGGCATAGACGCTATTTCCTGATTCATGTGAACTGACAAGACAAATCCTAGATGACACAATTCCGGCATTCATCTACTATAACTAATTTACTTGGTTATAATACTAATGTATTTGAACAAAGGCTAGTCCATCGGATTTCACAGATTACTAGACGTTGCTGGAGCAAAATGTAAGTCATTGACATTTTACATTCTATTGTTTTGAATTATCACATATTCAAACTTGTTTCTGCCCTTGGGCTTGAAACAAAGTTACAAACTTATGTACCAAACAAGCTTCTAGTGGAGGGCAATGGTGCACATGGATTAACGAGGTAACGGTAACGGACAACGATAATCCTATTCATGAATACAAGTTTCATGAGAAAAGAATCCCAATAATCATTAACTTTCCCCTTCTGATCTGACTTCTGCCTTGCCCTAGCCCTTCCCTTTCCATTTACCCCAATAATCATGGTCTTCCATCATTTGCCTTCCCTTAATGTGCTGGCATTGTCCATCTAGAGCTCTGCCCTTCTCTTGCCAGTTTGGGTGTTACCTTCTTCAGTCTCTTGTTCATGGACATCATCTTCATAAAATAAGACTCATACAAGTGTAGCATTGTCAACGAGGTAGTTGTTACTGGAGTGGGATCCTCTGTTAGGAAAGCATAGTGTGTACTGCTGTGTAACTCCATAATTTTGGCTGTCTAATCAGAATCCCTGCTACAGCACCAACCAGTATCTGCTACAATTTATCTTGTGAATATCCGTGTTGTAAACCTTACATTTGAGATATATTTACCTATCCTCTTTTTAACTTTATATCCCTGTTCATTTTGTTGTTCATACGACATCAAACTGTTCTTTTTGGAAGATATTAAAGAACCCGTATTCACTTGTTCTCTTTTCTCTTACTGTTCCAGCTTGGTGTATTTGAGATGGCTGAATTTGGTCTGCAAGCTGTTCTGAATCCAAGCCAGATGTTCTTAACTGAGCATGACTCTGATTCTGAAATTCTGGCTGGGCTTGCTGTAGCTGTTATTTTAGATGGATCTAGGACCTTTGCTCTTGAAGTTCAGGTACTTCAGTCTTCATATGGTTACTGGTATCTTATTGAAGTGGCTAAATTATTTTTCTTCCAGTGTTTCACATTGTTTCTTTCTTACCATAGTACTATCATATACTTGAGCTATGAGTACCTACCTATAGTTTAAGTTTAAGGGGCTTCTGTGAGGCGCAATTTCTTCCATTTGCAGGCATTGTGTGTTTCTGGTTCTCATCGTTCTGGACAAGTAGTTGGCATGCCGTCAAGCAGGGCTGATGTCATAATCTCTGTAAGTGTCAATACATCCCAGCCAATAAAGCACTGCACCTAGCATAAATGTCTTTTTTTTGTTAATTTTGGCATTAAAGCTGCATAAATAGCACCAGACTTGACTTTTGTATCCATCTCGTCATTTTGTCAGTCAAGTTCACATTAGTTTGATCATGCTTGCCATAACCCTTTGCCTTAGCACCTTAAGCTGAGTTACCAGATTAGATGTCATCTCATTTCAACAAGTCAACTGTGCTAGAATGAGTTTAGCTTATTATAAATGTTGACAGTTCTCTGATAAGTTTATCATATGTATATTAGCCTTCTAGCAGAATTAGTTTTGCATGTTTTCTTGCTTATCTACTGGAATAAGAGAAAAAAGGAGGTTATGGTTTACAGATGACAGGATTAAACATGTGGGATGTGTGTGTCTTTTTTGAAATTACAACCATTGACACAATCACACAAAGCACACATGGCTCTGCACGTCTATGTGCTGGTACTTGCTTTGATTTTACATCGACCAGAGATAAATTCATGAGCTCAAGGAGTAGTACACACTTTTCACTGAGACACACTCACACCAAGTTGCACAACCAAAATTTGATCCCTGGTTAGAGTCGTACACCCGTGAGCCACAATTCAACCGATTGGCCAAGAGTTTCTTACCTAAACTTTGTGAAATGATATTTACTTTTCTTGTTTTGTAGGTTCTTATGAAGCAAGCAGGCCTAAAACTTCAGGATAGTGTAAGTTCATATATATAACTATTACTATGTCAGGCAATATATATTTCTTTACAGTGTGTTGGTGTTAATTCTGAGATACAAATATATAACTATTACTATGTCAGGCGATATATATTTCTTTACAGTTTCTTGGTGTTAATTCTGAGATACAATCAGTTGGCTGCCACTACATGTAGGCTTATTACTTGCATCAATGTGGTCTGATGACTTAATTTGCACTAACATTAGAGCAGGTGGTTTGTTGATGTCCTGACATGTTTGTTGCATTGACACACACACTCTTAATTTGCTAATTTTGGTTTTTGGGACAATACAGACATACAGTAATGTTCTATTTTTCTTCTCATGTTCTTCTGGTGCTATATTTCTTGTGCACTGCAGACTATTTTTTTGAATGTTGTGAGTGGCTTCAAGTTGACTGAGACCGCAGGAGATCTGGCCATAGCAGCTTCAATTTGCAGCAGGTAGTAATGTTGTGCTATATTTTAGCTAGCTGTTAACGATACAAGATTTAGTTCTACCTTTGTATAGGTACCTAAGCGCCCTGCCCCCCCTATTATTATTTCCTATTTCTCATGGTATATTTGTACAGTCATTTGTGATTTTTGGGTTGTTAGTTAGAATAACCAAAATTCACTGATAAACTTCCTACTAAGCAGATTGGTGAAGCACAAAGTATGGTTCTATGGTTTTTTGTCATTCTTTTCTGTATAAAAGCAGGTGGGTGGGCCTGTTTTGGTATATCTTTTCCACTGTTCTAAGAAATCCTCTTTTCTTGTTTCAGTTTCTTGGAATTTCCTATCCCAAATGATGTTGCATTTATTGGAGAGGTCGGCCTTGGTGGTGAACTTAGAGCTGTAAGTCTTCTTCTGTTTCATGTAATATATGCTTTATCTATAATCTGAGCTGACACTTGACAGGAAAAAGATTACATGTGTTAGTCAATAGGAATAGTGGAGATTAATGTTTGAATTCAGGAAAAAAAAAATAGAATCACCTATATTATTCCTCCAAGCCTACTTAAACTTCTTCTGTGCTGCTAAAAATTTTGGAAAAAATTACTGTCTAAACAAGTAAACACTGACCACAAACTTTATCCCTGATTCCCCTGCACTTATTCTGGAAGCTATATCCCCAGCCAATATATTCTCACTGGTGTGTTTATCCTGGTCCCAGAAAACTTAACTATAAACAGAGTGTTGTATGGATGTTTTCAAATGTTAAAAGTGCAAATTACGCCCTTAATAATAAATGTGCTCTCCTGGTCAGATAATTTATACGTTGAAATGATTTAAGTGGCATGCGGAATGTTTTGTGAAAAAGAACTTTCAATATAAACATTAGAGTTCTATGGTCTATGGAGTTTGTTTTAACCAGTTGTAGTAACATTTCTTTCCATTTTCCTTTTTAAAGGTACCAAGAATGGACAAGCGGGTGATGGCTATTGCAAAGCTGGGATACAAGAAGTGTGTCGTTCCCAAGACCTCCGAGAAGTTGCTCAGACCACTTGATCTTGACATCGAGATCTTGCCCTGCAGCAACCTGAAGCAGCTTATAAACACTGTGTTTACGGAAACAAATTAGGTACGGACCATCCGTACGCAACACAGTGCGGACACTGTGCATGACATGTGGCCCATGGGACGTGTGATTTTGCAAGCAGGCCCACACGTCAGTAGCACAATCGGTACAGAATCGCATAAGGACGGTCCGTACGCAATTTTTTTCCGTGTTTACGCCCCAAGGTTGATGTAGGCGTAAAAGATGCCTGGTTTAGCAAATCTGACAGTAGACACTTAGATTAGAGTATTGCTGTAGGTCAAGGACTTGGCTAGTTGGATTGGTGTAGCATAGTGCGGTAGTGCCAGTTAGAAAGTGGATGGGGTTCAGTGCTGGGCTTCCGTTGGGTTAGTGTAGCATAGTACAGTAGTGCCAGTTAGAGAGTGGATGGTGTTCAGTGCTGGAATTTTAGTCGGCTGGTGTTAAAAAGCTGGTGAAGCTGTTTTGTTGTGAGAGAAAAATACTGTACATTCTAGCTGATAAGCCGGCTGATAAGTTCAAGCGATTAGGCCAGTTTGCTATTAAGCCTAAGACGGCCTAGAATTTGGTAATCTTTTGCGGGAATCAGAAACTATCACGATGTATTGTGGCACACAATCATAATTCCTTGGTGTCTTTGGAGCCTGTATGGAAGCGTGGTTTTGTATCAGCAACCAGTGTGAAAATTTTGCATCTTGAACTAGAAAGGTTGTTTGGATGCCTTGTGAACTAATGTACTCCTGTATGACCGATTCAACCGGAATAAAAAAACATCTATCTAGGCGCCAAAAAAATAAGACCTCCCTCTTTCTCTTTCTCTATGGCCGCTTTCCAGTGCCTCTCCGTCTTTAGGGCCAGTTGGATGGAAGCCTGGACAAATTACCTAAAAGAAAATATTGTCCGGGAGTTGCCTGAAAAGTTAGTGTTTTTTAACTCGCTAGACAAGTTTGAAAAATATTGTTTGGTTGGAGGTATGTGCCTAAAAATATTATTGAGAGCATATGCATAGCGTGGATGTTTATTAAAATGTCGTGAGATTTACATATACTTATATAGCTTGATTCAATATTATTTTTCTCAATCAACTAAAAAATAATTTAATAAAAGAGTTAATTGTACTTAATAATTTAATTATACTTTGCATCCTAATATTGTATGTTTATAATAACAAAGTCCCACATATTTAATAATAGATTAACGGTGATAGATTATTTTTCCAAGTAAAAAAGATTGACTAATTTGTGTTTCATTAAAAGACTAAGCACTGTCATTCATCCAGGCCAATTGCACGCAGCGCCAGGCGCTCGATTTTCGTTGCCTGGCTGCACAGAACTTGCCTGGTCTGGCAACGTCACCAGGGCCCCATCCAAACGAAGCACAGGCAAGATGCAGGCAAAGTTGAAGCCAGGCAAAAGGGCTCCAGGGTCGTCTTATGATCTCATCCAAACGAGTCCTTACCCAGCGCCGACTCACCGCGCTGCCGCCCGAGCCCGCTGCACCGCCGCGATGCTGCACCTCCGAAACCAACTCCTCCCTCTACTCCGTGCCGCGTCCCCGCTGCTCTCTCCCATCCACCACCACCGCGCGTGCCTCCTCTCCGCCTCCGCGGCTGCCCCCTTCTCCCTTGAGGACTACCTCGTGGCCGCCTGCGGCCTCAGCCCACCGCAAGCCCACAAGGCGTCCAAGCAAGCGTTCGAAGCGGCATCCAGACTCCAGAGATGCCGGGAAACCATTCGAGGAGCTTAGGAGCTCCAGCCTCCACACCGCCTCCAACCCCGACGCCGTCCTCGCCCTGCTCTCCAGCGCCGGCGTCTCCCGCGCCGACATCGCCGCCGTCGTCGCCGCGGACCCGCTGATCCTCCGCTCCTGTGTAAACAAGATCGGGCCCCGCCTCCTCGCTCTCCGTGACCGCATCGGCCTGTCCGCTCCGCAGATCTCCCGCTTCCTCTTGGTTGGCTCCCGGGCGCTCCGTTCCGGCGACGTCTGTCCCAACCTCGAGTTCTTGATCTCCACCTTCGGCTCGCTCGAGCCGGTCCTAGCCGTCATGAAGGGGAACAAGAGCATCCTAGAAATGGACCTTGATAGGGTGATGAAGCCTAACATCGCGCAGTTTCGCCAGTGCGGTCTAAGCGCTCGAGATATTGCCCAGATGTGTTTCTATTGCCCGTGGCTGATTGGGTTCCAACCAGAGCGCGTCAAGGATTTCGTGCTACGCGCAGAAGACCTTGGGGTGTCCCGCCGATCGCCCATGTTCAAGCACATGGTACCAGCAATGGCCCGTACCAACAAAGAGAAGAATGCTGCCACGCTCGAGTTTCTGAAGAGGAGTCTTGGTTGCTCTGAGAGCGAAGTTGCCTTTGCTGTGTCCAAGATGCCAAGCATTCTAGGACTATCTGATGAGTCCCATCTCCCCAAGATTCAGTTCTTGATCAAGGAGGTTGGACTGGAGCCGCAGGACATTCTGCAAAGGCCGTCCCTGCTCACATACAGCCTGGAGAAGCGGCTAGTGCCCCGATATTGTGTCATGAAGATCCTGCTGGCAAAGGGACTGATGAAAAGCAATTTTCGCACATTAGCCCAAGTTGGAGAGAAGAAATTCAGATTGAAGTTCATCGACCATCACAAGGACTCTGTTTCTGGGCTAGCACATGCTTATGCCACAGCTCGTGCTGGCCATGTGCCCTCTGGAGTCTAATCAAATTATGACATCTAGATATATTTAGATCCATTTTATTTTCTAGGCGGGTGGTAGAACTGCAGCTCACACTCATTAGCAAGTGTCCATAGTGCACTCTTTCTCAATTCTTGGTTCCTGCAATTGAATCACTACTGATGTTTGACTTGCACTGCTCAAGTTATGTTTTGGTTATCTATGAAGGAACTGGTTTGACTTATTTTGGAGCCCTATTTCACATGTTTGACAGTCGCTTCTTCCTCACATATGGCTGAAGTTTCAGCGCTTAAGTGCTTAACATAGTTGTTCATTGTTTGATAAGCTTTTTTTTTTTTTTTTTGCAACAGTCATTGTTTGATAAGCTGTAAAGCTTGTTTGCCTGCACAGTCATTTATTTGGAAATATGAGTACCAAGTCCCAGAAATATGTCTGTGTGGAGACTGCTGACAGTATCATGCTCTGACTCACAAAATCGCCACCCCTGTTTTTTCAGTATTTTTTCCAAACTGCTATCTTCCAAAAGAGGAAGATCAAAATGTCATGGCAATACACTCCTCTCGCACATCTGCAAACAGGTCGGAGTTCATGTATCTCTCGCCACCACTCGGGAACACGGTGACAATCATCTTACCCTTGTCTTCTCTCGAAGCGACCTGAAGACACTCGAAGGATCACTGTATATCAGGCACGGAACTGAAATGCGAGAAGAGTCGGTTAGCTAGGATGTGTGAACCTTCAAGCAAGCTGCCAGGTTTGCTCCGGAAGAAATGCCCACAAGCAGGCCCTCTTCCTTGGCCAGCCTCCTCGCGTTCGCCATGGCCTCCTCGGTGGTCACTGGTCTCGTCGATGACTGAGGTGTCCAGGACATCAGGTAGAAATCCTGGCCCTACTCCCTGGATTTCATGCTTGCCAGGCGCGCCACCTGAAGAATACCAATGCTTATCAATACGCAGATACAATTTTAGAGATTGTGATTCTTATAGCAAATATTGTATTTTGTTAAGCCACTGCTCAAGGCTTCCAAAAGATTATTTTGAATTAACTGCTGTTTCTTACTACCTGAAATCACTGGGCTTTCTGCAGGCTCAACACAGATGATATTGACGTCTGGCTTTTGCATCTTCAGATACTTTCCGACACCAGAAACAGTGCCACCTGTGCCTGAACCGGCCACAAATAAGTCCACCTTGCCTGCTGTGTCCTTCTAGATCTCAGGTCCTGTGTTTGTAAACAGTAGGCAAGGTATTAGCTACAACAGTACCAGCAGAATTTGTTTAGTAATACAAATCCTGACCAGTAATTGTTACTGTTCTAGAGTACAAAATTCTTGTAATGTCCACGATTTTGGTGGGTTTCTATAGTATGATGGCAACAGGGTCCTGTAGAGTAACATGTTGCACGAAGGATTCAGGTTCTGAATTTCTGGTACAGCGATATTTGCACTAGCATAGTATGACGGTCGGTCAGAAAATGTCCGTACCATTACACCCCTATTAGCATGTGTTAGAAGCAAGAAACAAAATTTTCATAAATATAGTAAATGCTTAAATGATACTTTCTCAGAAAAAAAACTATTCCACAGTAGCTAACTCCTGTTATTTCCATACATAAAAATGACAGCAGTTAACTACTGTTTACTGAGATATAAGCATCATTTGAACACATATTATTATATCCATACCGGTCAATCTAAAGTGGGCTTCAGAATTTGCTCTATTAGTAACTTGATTCAGAACATGTACATTAGGCAGTTGTTTTCGGAGCTGTTCAACTTTGTCAAACATGCCCGCAAAGCCTAGGGCCGGATCTGCACATACAGTACACCCACAGGAAGAAGGCCACCATAAAATTCCTTAATCAAGGAAATTTGACTGAAAAAAGCAATTAAGGTGATGCCGTAACTTTCTCAACTAATCATGGACAAAGCTGGCGAAGTCGCAGACGGCCGCATCCCTACCCGCCAACGCCTCGGCAGGCGCAGACGGGTTTCCTCTCCCAACGCTGATGGGTGGCGGGAGATCCTCCCCCGACCAGAGACGCGACCTGCGGCCGCCTCGGTTGAGCCTCGCCAAGAGCAGCTCCCGCCGGCCCGGAGAATCCCCGGAGAGCTTCGCGACAGATGTTTCAATTGCCTCTCCTACTCGGACAAAGTAGCGACTTGCCGGTTGCCACGGCGTTGTCTGCGCTGCCACGACTTCGGCCACCTCGCCAGGGACTGGAAGCGGATCAGGTCTGTTGCAACGATGAAGGCGAAGTGTGGCGTTGCTCGTGGAGTTGAGCCACCGCCCCCCAGCACACGCCCCACAGCGGCCCGCCGAGTTCAGAAGGGGCCGCGGAGGGCGCCAGTAGAAACCAGCGACGACGCTGGCGGCGCCGGAGTAAGCCGGCGAGCGACACCGGCATGGACGCACCCGCCGACAACACTACTAGCTCTACCGCTGCACACTACCTCCACGAGCCAGATCCGCTTGTGCTGGATCCGTGCGTGAGCACGGGACCTCACAAGTGGGTTGACCCAATGCTGGAGGAGTTGACCGCCTCGCGCGTCGTCAGCCGGACACCAGAAGCACCAGCGCCTGGGTGTCCGCCCGCCACGTCGACTGCTCCTCAGGATGAGGAAACATCGCTGGTGGACACCAGTTCTCCGGCGAAGGCTTGGATGACGGGCTCACCTACGCTGTTGCCGGAGCAGGGGCAGCCACCAGTCACGCCACAACTGTAACATCCCAGATGTTAGAAAGTAGTTAAAACTTGATCATGAGCATCATCAAGCATAATCACTAAGTGTCATGTCAGTTGTGCATTTTAAGTTTCAAATTGTTGCATTCATATGTTGCATATATGGTGTTTCATGTGTTGCATCAAGTGATGACAATGTTAGTGATTAAGAAACTTTGTGAATTTAAATATGTGAATTTGCTTAAATAATTAAAATTTGGTTAAAATAGACTTTGTTGTTTAAAGTATGCTCTTGAATGTGGAATGAGAGATTGATCATGTTTCTAAATCAAATATGGTTAAATTGGAGCTCAAAGATTGAATTCAAAGCTGATTTTCAAACTTAGCAATTTCTGCCTAAGTGCCTGGATATCAGTTTTAAAGTTCAAACTTTGGTGAATTAATAAATGAAATTACATAAATAAAATTTGTCCAAACCTTGTTCCATTGCTTGATGCTATGTTTGGGCTATGATAATGTTTAATTAGTTGATAAGTTTGATAGATGGTTGATCACTAATAAAATCCCAAAGTTTGCTAACCGAAACTGTTTTTGAAAACCTTAACTGAACCCAGTTTTTCAGTTTTGATGCACCCTAGTTCCTTGCTCTAGGTCTCTCAATTCAATGAGAATTAGGACTCAAGCCTGTAAGCAATGTTGGAGCCCTCACCAAGGTGAACAACTTTGGTTTTTGGAGTTCACCGGGTTGATGTTTGGATTCAAGATAAAATTGAAGAGGAAGGGGTGCTGTCAGACGACTACAGTGCCATCTCCGGCAGCAGGCAAGCTGCCTGTCTCACTGCCGACCGCCCGCCGCCCTCGCTCGTCGTTCTCTCGCGCCAAGACACGCAGCTGCTTGCGTGTCATGGTCAGGCAGGTGCTGGAAAGCCTGGAGAACTCGGCCACGTCCACTTAAGCCAGTACCACCGACGCTCGCCTCTCCTCTCCTTCTCCTGCTCGCCGCCCCAGCGAAATTGGCCACCGCCGTTACAGCTCAGGGCAATTGCCCGCGCACCTAGCCTTGCATGATCCTTGCGCTGCTCCCCGACTCGCTCGTGCTGCCTCGCTCCACCGGAGTCGCCCTCGGCGCCGTTTGCCGCCGCGGCCGAGCCGCCATGGCCGCCGAGCACCACCTCACCGTGGCCAGCTCGTCCCACTGCACCTCCCTCCCTCATCGCGCTTATTTGGACTCCTACTTGATTCGGTGATGCTCATCGGTCCCTTTTTTTTTTACCTTTACCGCACAGGACGCGCCGGAACGCCGTCCTCACCGTCGGTTCGCGCCGCCGCGTCCGACCTCAACGTCGTCAGCCTCCTCCGTCGCGTCCCCGCCTCGAACGAGTCGTCAAATGAAGTCATGGTGAGATCCTTACTCTATGCATGCCCACCGTTTCACCTCTACCGCGCCGGAGTAGCCGGTCCGCCGCCGCGCCGCCGTGTTCTGCGCCGCTGAGCCGCCATGGCCGCAGCTGCGCACGAACTAAGCCCTTATGCGCTCATACGATTAGATAAACGTGGTAGTGGAGAGTATATTGTTCTACCTGGGGTCTTAGTTTGGTTTCTACCGGCCGCTAGTGACCGGCGCACCGCTCGCCGCTCCGCCGTGGCCGCCATGGCCGGCGTCGAGCTCGGTAGAAGTGTTAACCCGTTCAACCAATACCCTAGGATGGTGCGCAAGGTCTCCGCGATCACGTTGGTGCCCTTACCCTAGCCGAAGACCTCAACGGCGGCGAGAAATCGCCGGTCAAAGGCCGGCGTGGCCGTGGTCAGCGCGGTCGTGCGTCGCCATTGACCTGGCCCCGCGTGTCAGCGACTGGTGCTGGGTGACGGTGAGTGAAAAATGGATTTCAGCGTTTTTGTTTTTCAGAAATGGATTAAAAGTGCTGATTCTTGTTAATTTCATAACTAATTATTGGAGCATGATAAAATTATGAAATTTATTCTGTCGGTTTGTTATGATGTTCTCTCCCATGGAAAATATCAATTTGTCTTTATCAGTAATTTTTGTATGCTTAAAAATTACCTCTTTTAATTATAAAATGGACCTTGCATGATTTTTGTAGATAAAAATATTAATCCTGTGAGCATGAAACTTTTTTTTAAATGTCATATGCTAATATCTACCTCCAAAAAAAGTTTGGTACTGTTTTGATAATTTTAACTTGGTCAAATATTTTAAGGGTGTTTAAATGCCTTTACTTTATTTGATAAATATTAAAATGATTTATATAATTGCTTAAATGACTGTGGTGTATTTGAACATTGTTTGTGGACCTTGGAACACCCAAACCCCTGCTGTTCCTCGGCATCTTAACTATTTCCTTAACATGCTTATAATCAACTGCCTTTTTAATAATTAAAATGACTTAATTAAATATTTAGTTTTATAAGTTCTTTATCATGTTTATGGGTTAGGAAAGATGTTAATCACTTCATGCTAATCCATGTTAGTTCAATTCACTTCTTAATAAATAACTAATTAACATGCTAGATAATAAATAAATAGTTTACTCAATATGACTAATTAGTAATGCATGTAAGTAGGTCATGTAATGATCCTTGCTTATCCTCATGATTGAATTTGGTGTAATGTTAGTTAAATAACTTGTGTTGCTTAACTAGTGTAGTTTAATAGGTGTTGCTTCCATGTTAAACAACTAATTGACTTGTTAGTTAAAACAAACTAAAATCCTTTTATAATAGCAAACCCTAGTTCTTTGGTGAAGGAAAGTTGTATTCAACTTTCTTAGATTAGTTTAAATTCTGCTATGCACTTGTGTGTCTTTCATCATGCATCATGTCATGCATTCCATCATGTTAAGCAAAGCATCATTTCTTACGTGTAGTACATACGAGAGTGAGAAGACTCGTGTTGATCAAGTTTCAGAGAAGGTCCATCCACCAGTGATGTAAATGCCAAGTCTGACTACTGGACCTTTCTCTGAAATCTAACCTTCTCTGCAACACAGGCAAGCCCCGGTGCATACCACCATTCTCTAGTATTTACAAATCTTTATTACACTTTAAGTCTTGTGAAATGTGCATTAAGTAATTAGGAGTTGGTCGAATACCGTTGTTGCATGATTACCTTGATATACAGGTATCCTTAGTTATACCTTGCTAGTATGGATAGGTCGTACCTGTTATGCT